AGGAAAATCTTAAAAAAAAAAAAAAGAATATGGTACTGTCTATATATAAAAAAAGAATATGGTACTGTCTATATAACATATATATATATATATATATGTTATAAGATACAAATACATAGGGGAGGGGAGGGGGGATAGGAAGGGCAACACAATACAACAGACACTAGTATGGCCCTATGTATAAACGTGGCTGTATAACCAATGTGATCCTGAAATCTGTACACCTGGAAAAATAAGATTAAGATTACGTACCCCATTTGAATCAAATGTATGATATGTCAAGATCATTGTAATGTTTTGAGCAACTAATAAAAAAATTTTTAAAAAATGAATCACACAGACATGAACTGTATTCTCAAAAAAAAAGAGATACAAATACATAGTAAAAATTATTATAGTGAAACAAATTAACACACTCATCATCTCACATAGTTAACCATTTTCCTCCCTGTGGCAGAAGCAGTTATAATCTACTCCTTTAGCAAAAATTCAGAATACAACTCAATATGGCCCTCATGTTGTACATTATATCTTTTCTACCTGTTCATCTTATATATTGGTTTCTTTGTATCCTTTTAGCTACTTCTCTCCATTTYCTCCCTACAACACTGACTTAGTGTTTTCTTTCTTATTCAAATAAAATAACACCAATGGATAATCATCTAGTTTTTAAAATATTTTTATTAGTTATTGATGGACCTTTATTATTTACTTAATTGCTTATATGTGGTGCTGAGAATCAAACCCAGTGTCTCACACATTCTAGGCAAGCRCTCTACCACTGAGCCACAACCCCAGCCCCTAGTTGTTTTGTTTTGGGTTTTTTTAATATTTATTTTTTAGGTGTAGTTGGACACAATACCTTTATTTTACTTATTTATTTTTATGTGGTGATGAGGATTGAACCCAGGGCCTTGAACATGCTAGATGAGGGCTCTACTACTGAGCCACAACCCCAGCCCATCATCTAGTTTTAAATGCAAATGAAAACACTCTATTATCCTATAGAACATGCCCACAGTTCTTAAGAAATAAGCAACAACCAATATCCATACTCTTCTCCAATTCTGTGTTTGATCCTCTAATATTCCACACACTGCCTTATCCTGTGTCAGGTCTATAAAGACTAGATTTTATGGTCAGTTTACTGACCAGGTAATTTAAAAATTCTTTAATGTTATAAAGGTTAGGAGGAGGGCATGTTTCTTGTATTAAATTACAATGAATTTTAATTAGGGCTTCAGGCTAATTTTGACATTAAATGTAGATGAAACACATTGCAGCTAGAGTCAAGCTGGGGAGTTTACTAGAGCACGGGGTCAAGATAGGAACAATGATGGATCTGACTGATCCCCCACTGGGGTCAGCTGGCTTCAGTGTTATTTTTCAGCTCTGAACCACAGATGGCTTCATGCAAATCACCATTCCTTGTTGCAAAACATTTTATGCCATGTACCTAGACTATATGTCAGTAGCTTTATAAAACGGTCATATTTCAGGTTTCTAGAACCAAAACAAACCCCTTTTCCTTCTAAATCTTGAAAAAAAAAGTTTTGATCTTTCCCTTCATAAGAAACAGAGAAGTGCATTCCTAAAACTCTTAGCCATACCAAAAACTGGTTCAGAAAATAACAACAGCAGTTTACAATAAAGTTAAATCTTTTGAAGATTCTTAAGTTCTTCCTACTTAATGGCAATAAGATTTAGTAKACAAAGATTATTATTAGTACAGTGCCTTGACACGTTATTGACACAAAGATGTAAATAATGTAACACCACGCTGGGAAATGACTGAACACTGTATTCATCTTATGATCYTCATTAAACAAGCACTGGGCATCAGTGCTCACTAAATAAGCTTGGAACTCCGCGTTAACACTGTCAACACTAAGAGGAAGAGAATTCTTAGAACTATTTTCCGGCATAGAAGCTTCTCAGATTGAGTACCAAAGTACATCAAGAAAAGGAGTTTTTAATTAACCCCACAGAATCAGACTCTTTGGGTGAGAAGGTGTTTTAAACATAAAATGGCAATCCTATTGATACATGCTGCCACAGGCTGGGGATGTAGCTGAGTGGTAGAGTGTTTGCCCCACCTGCCTGGGGCCCTGGGTCCAATCCCAAGCAATGTAAAAAGAAAACAAACAAACCAAAAACCAGATCTGGTGCTACCAACTGAGGTAGTCAATCAACCATATGAGACTACTGAGTACTTGAATAGTAGCTAGCTAGTCTGAATTRAGATATGTGATAAATGTAAAATATACACCAGAATTTGCAGATTTAGTGTAAAATCATGAAAAAAAATCTCATTTTAAACTTTATTTGCATCTGTTTTGAAATGATATACATAGGACTAAATGTTATTATTAAAAGATATTATTAAAACTTAATTTCGTCTATTTCTTTTTACTTTGTTAATATGTCTACTAGACATTTTTAAATTACTTTTCTGGCTTGCAGTATAGTTTTGTTTTGTTTTAACATTTACTGCTATAGAACTACAACCTTGATTCTGACAGCAAACTGGTATTTCGCAGTTACAGATGTAATTTAAAAGCTAAAAAAAAAAAAAGCAGTTTGAGATAATAAGAAAAATAACTTCAAGCAGTCATAAAAATACTAAGCAGGATAACTTAGTTCTGGCACCATTTGAAAGAAAGATTACTGCAAAAATAGCACAGGATGTAAAACCACACATCTTAAGAAAATAAACTAACCAAAATTTACTAATGAAATAGGTCTAAAGGCTAATTATAACATTCACCTTTAGAGTGAAATGGACATTTCTTTCATTTTTAGTACTTAGGAAAAAAGCAAAAAGATTCTGTCTCTTTGTTATTCAAGCACTTTCAACCACAAACAAGTGAAACATTAATAGTATAAAAAAGAGAAACACTTATAACCTAATTCCCTCCCCCCCMAAAAAAACAGCAGTTAAAAGCAAAATTAGAAAATTACCTGTTTCTTTAGGAATAAATCGACTAACTTTGGTCCACAGASGTTATGAAATAAGAAAACGTATTTTGTATTTCCGTCTGTTCATCTTACATATTTGCTTTTCCCCTTACAATGTTATTTTTTTAAATACATATTTTTCAGTTGTACACAATACCTTTATTTATCTATTTTTATGTGGTGCTGAGGATTGTACCCAGTGTCTCACACGTGCTAGGCAAGTGCTCTACCACTGAGCCCAACCCCGGCCCCCTAAAATGTTATTTTTAAAGTATTTTATTTATTTATTTATTGTAGTGCTGCAGATGGAACCAAAGGCCTTGAGCATGCCAGGCAAACATTCCACTGAGCTACACATCCAGTTTTAAAAAGCAAATTTTTAAAGTGAAAAATTCAACATTACAATTCTCTGAGTCAATTAAGTACTTCCTCTACCATAAGACATCTTTCTATTTTCTTTGATTTATAATATTTAGGCCTGCAAGGCGCTTTTTGAAAAAAGAAGAAAAAAAAGTCAGCGTTTTTCTGAATCTATGAAAATGTTTTTAAGTAAAGGAGGGAAGCTTTCCTCAACTGTAGCAAAAGGTTCTAGAAATTTTTCAATGAAAGAAAACTTAAGGAAATAAGATCAGTGAGTGAATCCCCTAGGGTTTCCACAACAGTTGATTAGATACTTTTATGGTATCAAAAATAATCACCCCCAAAAGGCCCTATTTGGTTGTCAAGTCTTCATCAATTGGGAGTTTTATCAGTTGAGGATAATCTTCAGACTATTTGCTAGGTGACACATTCCTCTGGAACCTTTACCCTGTGCATTTAAATACCAAGCTCAATTATGCTCCCAGTAGAGTAAGCAGAAAGGATTGTACATATTTTAAACTAGGGAGTTGATTGGTTGCAGTTTGCTGCCTTGGTGGTCAAGCTCTTTCTAAGTATGATCCTCAAACAGTGAAATTAGTCTCAAAGAATAGAGTCTCTAACATTGCCCAACAGACTGCCAAAATTTCCATTAGAGCATCCTATTTTTAGTGTTTTGGAACTGGTCTTTTAAATTGCATTCTATAGTACAATGTGTTTAAGTTTATACAGTGAATAAAACAAGGATCCCAAGATTTTCGTTCTTTTGAGCTTTAAGCTTATAAATCTTAATTTTTTCAATCTTAAAGTCTTTCAAACACCCAAATCAAAAATGGAAAATTAAGGTAAATATTGGCCTCCACGGAGACACCAGGTGGTTCCGGACAACTAAAGTGATGGTGGTGGCGGGAGGGGGAGGACAGGTATGGTGGGGAGTAATAAAAACCATCCACAAGGGTGGAGATACCAGGCTGTGGGCAACAGGACAGAGAGGGACAGAGGCATAGTAGAAGCCGCAGGCTCTCCCGGGAGCCCAGAGAGGAACGATTTCTGGCGCTAATCCCCTAGGGAGGGAGAAACTGGCGCGACGCGCAGGATTAGAAGACCCACATTGGCTGGAGAAAAAAGGGGGAAAACAGGCTACCGGGGAGGGGGCGGAGGTAAGGGAACCCGGCTACACCTCAGTGCGAGGGCAAGGCGGCGCAGCCCGACSAGGACAGCGCAGGGGGAGGAGCAAGGGGCTTCCTAAAGGCTTTCCAGYGGCGGGTCCCCTGCATCCCGCTCTTCCCCTCCTCACCTGGGAATCCGAGGCAAAAGGAGGACTACCGCTGGGCGCCGGGTCTGTTTTCAGCCCCACTCGCTGACATGGCGGCCGAGGAGCTGTCACTGAGCTTGCTCGGGTCTCCCGCGGCTCGGGTGGATTAGACACCTCTTGCCTTTTCGCCCCGCCTCCCTTTGCGCACCCCTCCCCGCTGGCCGGCTGGCGGCCCGAGACCGCGGAGCATAGAGCACGAGCGGCTAGAGAGGAAGCGCCGAGGGCGGGATAACCATAGAGTACGAGTCCGGACACAGCCGGATAGTCGGTCTCTTTCCTCATCCGTCCAAAGTCCTCTGGCGGCGGAGCCGGGTCGGAAACGGAAGTGAGGGAGGACAGCAGCAGGGATCAGATGTTCGCATGCGCAGATTGTAATATTTACTTCCGCCCGGCCTAGATCGGCGTAGGGGAGGGTTAGCACGTGGGATCCTCTGCACAGGGTTTACCGAAGTGGATCCTAGGTGATCTTTGGGGACGACCTTAGAGGCGAGGATGTGGGGCCCAGCTACTGGTCTTGCTCCGCGACTGACATGGTCAGTTTTGGCAGCTGCTGGTCGCTTTAGTACTTTGAGGTCGGGAACAACTAAGCGGAAGGACTTGCCGGCGAGGAACCGCCTTGGATTGTCTGACTTCTCCCCACAGCATTTACCCAATACCGATTTGGAGGAATCTCCTTGGTGGATGTCCAAGTGCCGCTCAGAGTCCGGGCGTTATATAACCAATCGGAAATTGGCTGAGACCCTGATAAAACTTATGCGGAAGAAACGAAAAAATCCTGAAAAGCTAATCCTGGAGTGCAATCCAGGTGAGTCCGGCAGGATTCCATTTTCTTGGATGTTCTTTTCTGCATAATTTTATTGACCATTAGTGGAGTGCTGTTTAAGTTACTGCCCTTTACTTCAGGCGTCTTCCGTGGAGAGATTGCCCACAACATACACAGAAGATCTGTATTAATAATGGCATCACGAAATATTTCTGTAGCAGTTTGCCCCTTACGCATCATTTTAAATTTGCTCTTAACCTGCACCTTCTCCCTCACACAGCGTGAGCTCAAAGAAGTTTATCTTATCCATGCGCATCTATTATAGACCACAATAAGATGCCAAAAACACGATTTGTAGACTTTTTGAACATGTTTTAAAGCATCATTTCCTATCATTGAATGTCACTGCTGCTTAGGCTCGGCAATATTTTTGATGGTTGAAGCATGAATAAGAGGAAGGGTAGAGGCAAGCTTTTCTGATTTGTTTGTTTGTTTGTTTGCCTTCTAAGAARTAGTGAAACGTGAATAACAGTACAAATTTTGCAGTCACTGACAGGGTGGATTAAACCTGTTCCGTTTACCAGTTGGAACATTGGAGTCAAATAATTATCTAATCCCCGCTAATATGTCAAAAGACATGTTGAGGATGTTGTGAGCATTGAAATTGTACAATACTTGTAAAACAATTATTAGGAGTTTGATAGTAAAAGAGATTGTGTTGTTCCTTTGCACATGAACTTTCTCTTCTGTTTACATGGTAGGTCCTGGAATCCTGACTCGAGCATTACTTGAAGCTGGTGCTAAAGTGGTTGCCTTAGAAAGTGATAAAACTTTTATTCCACATTTGGAGGTACATTTTTAGTTTCTAAAAATAAATTGTTTAGTCTGCTAACTTTGAGTAGTTTAGGGAAGTAGAATTAAATACATTATTTTTATAGAATCTCCTTTCTGGGCCATGTCTTAAATACCTTGTTTGTTATCCATAAAAACACATAAAACACAGTAAAGTATTTGGTGCCTCTTGAATAAGAGTTTGGGAGATCTGTGATTTGTTTTCTAGTTCTAGTTCTTATTGGAGCTCAGAAAATGATTCCCCCAAGTATGATGTTTTGATGTGCTGAATACTTTGAAGTAAAGGAACATTGGAAGTCCTCCGAATTGGCCTCAGAACTAAGTTCTTTCTGACCTACTCCTGCCCTCCTATCTCTTGCCCTTCATTTTTCCCCAAAACAAGTCGTAGTAACTAGAATTCCTTTTCCCCAAGGCATTATAAAAACTGGACCTACTTTTTCTGTTTAAGAACTGACCATAAAGAAATTTTCCCCCTTCCCTTGTTTCATAATAAATCACAAAGCCTCATTTCAGAAGGAATTTTAAACCTATATCCAGGAGGAAGAAATGCCACAGAGAGAAGCCAAGAAACTGAACAGGCACGGCTTGCTGAGTTCCCCTGCTTCAGTCTATTACATTAGATCACACCCTTTTTGTCCGGTCACATCTCTCTGCTTCTTTCCATACTTCATTGAATCTACGCATAAAAATAGGCAGTTTTCGTTGGATCTTTTGGGTCTTCATTATCTTTATCTTATGTTACATAAAGCTTCCCTTACTTATATTCTTTATATTTCTCCTTTGTTAACCAGTCTTTGCTTATAGGAGTATAGGCCATGACTCTCATGATGGTTGGGGCAAGGGATCATACCTTTCCACTGATACATTCAACCACAGACKAACTGACTGTGAATAAASCGTATAGTTGGTATCACTAGCCTTTAGTAGGCTGTRCTGTGCCTCTGCTTTCTATTAGTTCAGAATCTAATTGGAGTGAATGCTAAGATTAGATTAATCAGACTATGTAAACTGGATTTAGAATTTCAGAGGCAAGAAAGATTTGGTGTACTCAGATACGATTGCATTGAGTGCAAATCTTATCCAAATGGATATTTCAGTGATCCTGATTCTCATATGGCAAGAAGTTCACATAACAGAAAATAAATAGAAATTCCTTGCATAATTAGCTAGCCTTCCCCACCACCACCTCTCTCCTTTATAAATTTCTAGATCAATTTAGATCAATCACCTACTCAAAGACAACTTCCTGAAACCATGTAGATTGGATGACTTTATTGTAAAGTATGCTATGTGAAAATGTCTCTAAAACTTAGTCATTTAATTTTTTTTAATACTTATTTTTTAATTTTAGGTGGACACAATATCTTTATTTTGTTTTTATGTGTTGCTGAGAATCYAACCCAGTGCCTCATGCATGCTAGGCGAGCACGCTACCACTTGAGCCACATCTCTAGCCCAAGTCATTTAATTTTTTAAAATAAAGCTTTGAACATTAGATTATTGTTCTAGGCTGGGGAGTGTAGCTCAGTGGTAGAACTTTCTTAGCATGTGGAAAGCCCTTGGTTCCATCCCAAGACAATTAAAAAAAAAAAAAAACGATTATTGTTATTCTATAACTGACTTGAAAAGAAACCAGGATTTTAACCAGGTTATTTCATTGATGCTAAATCTGTTGGAATTCAAAAAAAGAAAAAGAAAAAAAAGAACAGATAAAGTTGTTCAGACCTAGGGTGTAGCTTAGTCACAGGGCACTTACCTACCATGTGTGACRTCCAAGGTTTCATCCCTAGCACTGTGTACCGCCTGCCCCCTCCAAAATCACAATTGTTCAAAGACTTAATGTCATGAAAAGTGATTTAGTAAACATAGCTGTTTGCATTTAACTTGGAAATTAAATGCAATAAGATAACTTTTATCTTGGTTTGAAAAAGATCTACATTTGAAGATTACATGTTCACAAAATAATTAAGATGACATTATGTCTGTTTCTATTAAAACTTTGTTATCCTGTAACACATGGTTGCTTTATTGTAAGATCTTTACAGATAATAAGTTTAAATTTACAAACAATTGCTTCAGTGAAAAACTAGGATTTTTTTAAGGACCAGAGAATTTTTGACACACAATAATTCTTACAGGAACATCAGTAATAAAATGTTTCTGAGGCTATAAATGTAAACATCAGTGACTAAATCCAGTCTTAGATTAGATCTAGTTTTTGCTCCAGTTCAGGCTTTTATGTTCGTATCACCACTGGCACTAACTTAAACTGCCAACCAAGGCCTCACATATGCTTAGTACACACTCTGACATTGAGTACACCCTAGGGAACTCAGCCCTTGGTAGATGTTCTTTCACTTTTATTAATTATCCTTGGATAAAGTGAAAAGCCATTCAAATCATTTATGTGAACTCATCTATTTGTCAGAATAAAAGAAAAGAAATAATGTAAGCAGAACATTTGCTGCCCCTAATCAAGGAACAAGAATGGTCCTCTCAACAAATCATGTTTCTAGCAACCTAAAGGCTCTCAAGTTTGCTTCTGAAAAAAATTTTCAAGGATAATACTTGATTCTGGATTTTTATCTAACTTTAAATTCCTCTAGTCCTGGAATTCCACAATAACAATGTTTTAAGCAACAAGTTTATTTTTCCTATCTGAATGTACACATATTGCAAATTTTGTTTCATAATAATAAATCATGATATATCCATTTGAATTTTGAAAAAAATGTTGCAGAAATAGCTGTGATGTTCAGTTCAAGAACTAACTTTTATGGTAAATCCTAATTTCAGCAGGGATAGGACATAGTCATCAGCCCTAGCACTTCTTAGTTTTAGACCTGGTTCGAGTAACTAATTCAACCTTTCAGAACTTACAAATCTTATATGTAAAATAAGAGATACTGATATCCCCCTGTATAGGATCTTGATTAGGATTAATAAAATAAACTTAGGTAAAGTACCTAACTTAATGACTGAAAAATTCAAGGGTTAATTTCCCCTTTTTTGCTTCCTGTTTTTGACTCTTAAATGCATCCTAATTGAGTTTTAAAATGTGACCTTACAATTATTGTATGAATTCAGTTGTTTATTTTGGAGCTTTGGCTGTTATTGTGTTTGAATTGTTGAATGGCTAATTACAGGTGCTAAAGCAAAAATATATGATGTGGGGCTGGGGATGTGGCTCAAGTGGTAATGCACTTGAGCCTAGCATGCGTGAGGCACTGGGTTCGATTCTCAGCACCACATACAAATAAAATAAAGATATTGTGTCCACCTAAAGCTAAAAAAAAAAAAATATTTAAAAATATATATATGATGTTCCCTCAGAATACAAAAATCACTAAATAATGAAGTATACACTTAAAAAAAATTTCCATCAAATCAAGATTCATTAACTTTACTTACTTAAAACATATCTTTTGTACCTTGTGAGATTAGCTTACTGCTATACATGTTGGAGTTTTAAAATCATCATGTGCTTTACATCCATATACTATTCTTTTGGCTTTTGCAACACTGCACTTTTCAGGTTTCCTTCCTTATTTCCTTGTATTATTCTCAGGTTCTTGTCATTTGATTCTGGAGTTACACTATCCTTGGGTTTAGTCTTCTGTATTTCTCCTTGGGGGGGATCTACACTCCTGGCTTTAATTATCTTAACAAGTCATATTCTCACAAATGTATACCTTCAGCCTGGACCACTCCACTGACCTCCTCTTTCAAATATACAGCTTCCTACCCAACATCTTCATTTGACCACTTAGTARGCATCTCAGAATTGATATGACAAAATACATATGATTTCTACCCCCAGTTGTTCTTTTAATCCTTGTAAATAGTCCCCTTGATGAAGTGATCATTAAAATCTACTAGATTTAGTGGCTGAGGATGTATGTAGCTCAGTGGTAGAGAGAGTTTACCTAGCATTTAATCCATAGTACCACCAAAAAAAAAAAAAAATACTAGATTTTGAAATAGAATACTATTTATAGGTTGAACTCTAATGCTTAAGAAAAGTTGGTTTTTAAATTCATCGCTTTAGGTTGTGAAATTATTTTAAACCTGATGAATACCATTTGGGGTTGTAGCTCAGTGGTGAGTGCTTACCTCACATGTGTGAGGCACTGGGTTCAATCCTTACCACCACATAAAATAAATAAATAAATAAAATTAAGATTTAAAAAAAAAAAAACAGTATGAGGGCTGGGGTTGTGGCTCAGGGTAGAACGCTCATCTAGCACATGGGAGGCGCTGGGTTCGTCCTGGGCGCCACATAAAAATAAATAAATAAAATGAAAGTATTGTGTCCAACTACAACTAGAAACTATTTAATTAAAAAAAAAAACAGTATGAGACTGTGGGTGCAGCTCAGTGTTAGAGTGCTTTCATAGTACTGTGAGACCATGAATTCAGTCTTCAGCATGGTTTTAAAAAAAAAATGCAGGCTAAGGCAAGAGGATTATGAGGATTGTGAGTTCAAAGGCAGCCTCAGCAAAAGCAAGGCAGTAGGCAACTCAGTGAGACCCTGTCTCTAAATAAAATACAAAATAGGGCTGGGGATATGGCTCAGTAGTCAGTCCCCAGTTCCAAAAAAAAAAAAAAAAAAGCAAACCTCAGTGTGCATCTCAAAAACTTACTGCCTTCTTCTAGTTGATTTTTCTTTAACTTCAATTTAAGTTTAATGGATAATGAATGAAAAGACTGAAATGTAGTGATTCTATTCCACTGGACAAAGTCTGTGGCTGCTTCTCTCTTTAGAAAATGTAAATGAAAAGGTGAAGATATAGATTGATCTATACAGTGAGCTTAAGTTCATTTGGTGGATGATTGACTAGATTCCCTTAGAAAAAAGAGATATTCTTTTGACTCCATTTKCATTTTGCTTTAATATTTTAATTCTTTTTCTCTTCTGAGAAATATCTTTTGTTTCTTCTTCCAGTGACCATAGCAGATGATGCACACAGCTGTGTGCTAGGGTCGAGCTATGATCTCAGAATCTTGGCCTAGTGCTCCAGGTAGCTACTACTAAGCAGTTAGAGATTAGTGTGAAGAAGCTTTTGAAGAACTGAAGCTATTAAGATAAAATAAAGAAAGTAAAAGGTTAAGTTAGGATTGTTGAAGCTTTTCTTTTGTTGTTATTATTTGTTTTTCTGTTATGTGGTGCTGGGGATTTAACCAAAGGCCTTGCTCAAATTAGGCAGTTTCTTTACTGCTAAGCTATACCCTCTGCCCCTGTTGAAGGTTACTTTTGTTTGGGAGGGGGTTTCTTGGTAGTATTGTTATACTTTGACTGCTTTTTTGGCATTAATTGATTTTTATTTTCTCTGTTAAGATTTAGGTACATTAGTAAGATTTGCCTTTTTCMTTCTTTCATTTTTTGTTTGTACTGGAGATTAAACCCAGGACTTTAACACTAAGCTTGATTCCCTAGCCCTTTTCATTTTTTCTTTGAGATAGGATCTTGCTAAGTTGCTGAGGCTGACCTCTAACTTGTGATCCTCCGACCTCAGCCTCCTGAGTCATTTGGGTTGCAGGTGTGTACCACTGTGCCTGGCTAGTAATATTTTCTTTTTGGAGGTAGAAATATATTTTGTAAGGTCTTTGAATTATTTTTTGTATTATTTTTCTAAGTAGATCTTTGAACTGTTGCATAGTCTATGTAATTGAAATTTCCAAACATGTTATCTCTTTGTTTCCAGTCCTTAGGGGAAAATATGAATGGAAAACTAAAAGTGGTCTACTGTGACTTCTTTAAAATGGATCCTGACAATTGTACAATAGCAAAACCGCCTGTTTACGCTTCAAATGAGCTTTTTAAAGATTTAAGAATACGAGCAGTTTCTTGGAAAGCAGGTAATTTTTGTCATTCAGTAAAGTAAATGCCTTACAATTTGCCAGGTTTCTTTGGCAATATACCCAGTTTGTTTAGATTTGGGTATAGTTTCTATTGCATAGTTCATGAGCAGCTTCTCAGTTGAGAATGACATTTCCTTCCCTTGGACACAACCATTTTATATCCTCAGAAGTCAACTTCCATATGGGGAAAAGATACTGAGGCTTAGTTTTAATTGAAATCAACTTAATTTTTTTTTTTTTAGTTTTATTGATTTTATTTTTTTTAATACACAACAGTGAATGCATTACAATTCTTGTTACACATATAGAGTACAATTTTTCATATCTTTGTATATAGAGTATGTTCACTCCCATTCATGCCTTTATACATATTCTTTGTTTTGTTTTGTTTTGTTTTTGCATTACAATTCTTATTACACATATGTACCACAATTTTATCTCTGTATATATATAAAATATGTTGACACCCAATTCGAATGTTCATACATGTACTTTGGTTAATGATGTCCATCACATTCCACCATCCTTGCTAATCCCCTGCCCCCTCCCTTTCC